TTTTTTTTTTTTTTTTTTTTTTTTTCATTTTGGTTTAGGGATGAAATCTATCATATCTAATTCATTAGTATATAAACCAAATTACTATCCATAGCAGAGTATATTCGCAAATCCCATAATACTAATTTCTTACATTTGAAGCAGATAAGGTCATCTATCATTCCATTTTTTTCGGGTGAAATTGGCTAAAATAATCGTTTTTCATAAATTCTATTCTAAAATAGCCCCCTTGTATTAAAGAGGTACTATAGGGACAACAAAGAGGGAATTATACGAATAACAAAGAAACATTATATGAGTCATGGGCTATTATAGAATAAAAGTTGTGAAAAATGGCTATTTTAGCGCAAACGCCTTGACGTGGTGCCAATTTTATATTTTATATTTTGTTTTAACTTTCCCACTTTCAATTTTCCTAGCGTCCAAACAGCACCAGAAAAAGTTACAGAGAAAAGTAAAAGTCCAAACTCCAGGGGCAAATCTTTGGCCCATAAGCTGTCATCCAACTGATTCCACGTGAACTCAACTGTAACAACAGCAACAGAGGATCTAATCTACCCTGTTGCCCACGTAGCACCCTCCAGATGAGCTAAGGGCACTATCGTCATTTCAAAAAAAGTAGAAAATCATAGCCAATAGAATCAGATCCCGCACATTGGTGTGGCGAGCGCGCGAAGCACTGTATTGTTACCTCCGTCCGTACTGCCACGGGAAGCTTCCGACTAGACGACGGGCTCAAGCGTGTTTCTTCGCGTTGAGAGAGAGATCTCTCTCTCTGAAAGCTTCAGAGGGTGTATTGCAATTTACACAGAGAGAGAGGTACAACTTGTTCAACTCTGGTTGGCGGGAATTCGAAATTCTAGAGAGAGAGTGAGCGAGAGAGAGAGAGAGAGATGGGGGTGTCAGAGAATACGAAGGGGCTGATACTAGCGATGGCTTCGAGCGCCTTCATAGGCGCGAGCTTCATCTTGAAGAAGAAGGGTCTCAAGCGCGCTGGAGCTGCCGGTACTCGAGCAGGTCATTTTTACTCTTACACGAATTCTGGGTTCCATTCTTTTAGTTTATTTTCAATGTCGATGCCATTGGCACATTAGCATTTCCCTTTTTTGGATGGTTGAGGTTGGAAATTGGAGTAAATTACAAAGATTTAACCAAAAGATTCAATTTTTGAAAGTTAATTATGTGTTTGATGATTGATAGGTTCCAGAATCCGAACTGTTAATTCATGGTTTTGATTGTTTTTTGATTATTTCATAAGTTGCGATGTGATTGATTTGTTGTACATCTTTGATTTGGGTAATTGAAAATCTGTGTCTTTTGAGTTGTGCAGGAGTTGGTGGTTATACTTACTTACTAGAGCCACTTTGGTGGGCGGGCATGATCACCAGTAAGTACAGCTCTCTCTCTCTCTACAGAAAATGTGTGTGACTGAAATGATAAGTACATGTGAGTTATTGATCTTTGGTTTTGAATTTTTTCAACTGGGTAGTGATTGGTGGAGAGGTTGCCAATTTTGTGGCTTATGTATATGCTCCAGCAGTTCTTGTAACCCCACTTGGTGCACTGAGTATAATAGTCAGGTAAATGCACTTCTGTCTGAGTTCATTTCATTGCTGATTTCTGATAAAAAGAAGGTATTGTTTAAAAGCTTTTGTTACCAACTTTTGCGTGTTTGTTGGATTTGTCTAGTGCTGTTTTGGCTCACTTCTTGTTGAAGGAACGAATACAGAAAATGGGTATTGTGGGATGTGTTACCTGCATCGTGGGATCAGTGGTAATCGTGATCCATGCACCTCAAGAGCATACTCTAAATTCTGTACAGGAAATCTGGGTTCTGGCGACCCAACCAGGTTCATGACTTTAAACCTCATATTTCTTTTTCTTCAATGCTACTCGTCATAGAACCTTCATTGTTTTGTCCTGAAAATTTTACTTTTGTTTTTGTTTTTGTTTTCTATACACAGCCTTTCTGGTTTACGTTGCTGCTACACTTTCCCTAGTGTTAACTTTGGTTTTGCATTTTGAACCTCACTATGGGCAAACAAATATACTGGTCTACTTGGGAATCTGTTCCTTGATGGGTTCACTTACGGTAACTATGCTTTTCTAGTCTGCCAAGTACAAATAGGCACTTTGTTCCTCTGTCTTATGTGTTCAAATTGTTAGGTGTTTAGCTGTATACCTCTGCTGTGCTACTTCAGGTTGTAAGCATAAAGGCCATTGGAATTGCAATAAAGCTAACTCTTGAGGGAGTAAGTCAGATAGCCTATCCTCAGACTTGGTTTTTTCTGACTGTTGCAGTAATCTGCGTAGTTACACAGTTGAATTACCTCAACAAGGTCAGTATTGCGCTATTAATTTTGGTCTCTTCCTCCGAGACTATCATCATTGGTGTTTTATGTGCTGACTAGCCATTTTGTGCTAAAAATCTGTGCTCCACCTGCAATGCCTATTCAGCATTTGGTTTCTCAGATCCTGATTTGCCCATTTGTTACATATTGACTCCAATGTGTTCCTGGCCTATAAAGGAGGGGACAGTAATGCATTCTGCCTCTGTCATATAACTTGTAAATATAATAACACTATATCAAATCTCAAGCAAACAGGATTTCCATCGTAATAAGTTTGGAAATTTCTCAAAATCTGAAAATTTAGTTATTGAAATTGGAAAGTAAGTTTAAGTTGGTCTACTTTATTAAAAAATTGAACTTTAAGTATCACGTGCTGCTTGGACAGTAATCTTGTTAGTACTTCAATTTAGCCATCTTTTAACTCAGACTTTCATGGACTTCAAATTATAATAATTACCTGCTGAATCTCACATCATTCAAGTTCATGGCCACTTTGTTTCAGGCTTTGGATACATTCGATGCAGCAATTGTTGCCCCAGTATATTATGTGATGTTCACAACTCTGACCATTATTGCTAGTGTAATAATGTTCAAGGTAGATTGCTTGATCTATATACTGTGGGTTTCTTCTGATGCCTTTATTGGTTGTTTTCCATGCAATTACAAAGACATGGGATTCTGAATTTCACGTTGTTTTCTATGTTCAATACAGGATTGGTCTGGTCAGGATGTAAGCAGCATAGCCTCTGAAATATGTGGATTCATCACTGTTCTGTCAGGAACTATCATACTCCATGCAACCAAAAATGAAGAATCATCTACACAAGGTATACATGGACTTTGCATCCTTCTATTATCCGGGATTTGGGGTTTGGGGTTTTTATTATCTCCTTTAAATTCAGATCAACATGACAATTGAAAATTCTTATCTAATAAGATGATTGAGAATAAAACAGATGCATGTTAAATTTGATCCCAATGATCTGAGACATTCATTTTCCTCTTGATCAGGATACTAATTTACAATGTTCCATGCCTACTCAGTTGCAATCCCATCATTAATTATTGGTTAGACTGAGGGGCATACTTACACTTACAGTTGGCTGTAACATTTACAATCTTTGCTTATGGATGCTTACAGTAGTTTTTCTTTTCATAGCAGGAACTGTAACATGGTACATTAGAGATTCAATGAAGGGTTCTGAAGATGAACGTTTGCTCACCTTACACAATTCAGATTATCCTGAACCGTAACCCTGCAACAATCATCTTGGAGAATGAAATCCCCAGCAATGAAGCTGCACTGCAACAATCATTTTGAGTAGGGGTGAGTCTATGGGCATCTAGCACATTGCTCATTACACCTTCCCATTGCTCATTACACCTTCCAAATACCCGTTTACTCTTATTCATTTAAAAAAAAAAATTGGCCTCCCCTCCCCTCCCCTAGTTGGACATTTCCGTGGCCTAAGACCAGCCATAGCTAGTCTTTTATTTATTTATTTATTTTATTTATTAAATAAATTCTTTCTTCTTTTTGGATATGAAATGATTTGGGATATAATGAAAAAGTAAATGAATTTTTTTAGGGACAGGTTGTAGCAGTGTGTTGGGTGCCAATAGCCTTCCTTTGAGTTAGTGTTTGTAGTGTTGGGAGCTCCCGGTTTCTTCTGGACAGACCTTGGGGCTATTAGCAGATTGCAAAAGTACTTTTTATGTGCCTTTCTTCACCAGCCAGCGGATGCAACCCTCAACCGGACGCTCAAATTAAATTGTAGTGTGAGGTGTGGCACCACTCTCAATGCTAAGTTCTGAATCACCCTCAGCTCAGGAATGGGGCTGCAGTTCTGTATCAATACCAGTGCATAGAGATATTTGTTGTGATATTGGCAATGCTCAATCTCTCCATGGCTGCTGATGGCATCTGTACATATCGACACTCGGCTTCTCGTTCACTAGTTTCATGTATGATTCTTCTTAATATCTGATTCAGTTTGATTCTTTCTTTTTCTTTCTAGTTTGTATATATTTTTTCTTATAGATGTCTTTCTAGTTTGTATTAGTCCTTTTTTCCTTGGTTAAGAAAATCTTCAGTTCATATTGTCATTGATAGATCATAGAACACACACAGCTGAGAGGTATATTTGCCAATTAAATGGGCAAATACTGCTTGGGAATTGTATATCTTTGTATTTAACTCTTGAGTTTTTGCTTTTGCTGTCAATGAATTCGGTTGGTATAATGGCAAATAAACTGCATACTTTACTACACAGTAAACCATAAATTATATGATTCATGTCATCCCTCAAATTATCAAAATTTAACCTTTTTACTTTTTGCCAGGATGTTCAAAATTTAACTCGAATGTGCAGATAGTGCAATATTTTACTATTTAAGCAATGAAATCTTCCAAATTGCTTTGCCAGAAAAGAAATAATAAATAGTTTAATTACAAGATAATTTCAAAATTAAAGAACGTGAAATTCCTTTAATTGGGAAAATAAGATTCTAGTCAAGAGTTTATAGCGTAATATGATCTGATGATGCTATAAAGTAAAGCCGTTTTAAGATTGAGAGATTTATTAATAATTTGGTTTGGATGGATAATTACTGAAAGCTAACCTTTTTCTTGTAAATTTTTTTTTATGGATATAAAGTCGTCTAAAAGGTGAAAATGAAAATTCCTTTCATTTTTCTTCAAAAGCTATTTTGTATCATAATTCTAACTCATTTCTTAAGCTCTCTTATCACTAAACTAATTCGAAGTTACATCGACATTCCCTAGCTTAATTCTAACTCATTTTTTACCATTCGAAATTGCCTAGCTTAATTCTAACTCATTTCTTACTGCAATTATTACTGATTTACTATTGGTAATTAGTAAGGTTTTCGAGTTCCTCAAAATCATTATTGAAAAAAAAACAAAGTCAGATTCCCTCTCCGGATCAAAAAAGAAAAAAAGAAAAAAGAGAGAGAGATTCTCTCTCTGATAAGGAAAATCATAAACTTCAATCTCCACCGTCGGATCAAATTCTCTTCCCTACCCTATATATTCGTAACCCCCTCTTCGCTTCCCAACAACGCAACGCTTCGCCAAAAAATCCATCCTTTGCGCAAAAACAAAGGAGAGACCTTTTCATCGCAGCACACAGCAACCACAACCATGGCGGCAACAGTGTCTCCTTGGGCCAAACCTGGCGCTTGGGCCCTCGCCGCCGAAGAGCAGGACGCCGAGCTCGAACAAGAAACCCAAAACGCACGACACGTCGTTGAGCCGCCCTCCGCCGACTACCCATCTTTGTCTGTAGCCGCCACCGCCAAGCCTAAGAAGAAGAACAAGGGCCAGAAAATCTCCCTCGCCGAGTTCACGGCCTTCGGCGCACCCAAACCCGTGGCCCAGCCCGAGGGCCTCACCCACCAGGACCGCATGCATCTCCCGACCGGTCCGCGCGAGCGAACCGCCGAGGAGCTCGACAGGAATCGGCTCGGCGGCGGGTTCAGGTCCTATGGGTCTGATCGGGGAAACAGCAGGTTTTCCAACGGCGAAGAGTCGTCGGATTCGAAGTGGGGTTCGGGACAGAGGAGGGAAGGTGGATTTGGGAAGGAATCGAACCGCGATGGGCCTTCCAGGGCCGACGAGATTGATGATTGGGGCGCTGCGAAGAAATCGACGGTGGGAAATGGGTTTGAGAGGAGGGAGAGAGGAGCAGGAGGTAGTTTCTTTGGTGGTTCACAGTCGAAGGCTGATGAATCGGACAGTTGGGTATCCAATAAGAGCTCTGTGTCGTCTGAGGGACGGAGATTCGGTGCTTCCGGTGGTGGGTTCGATCGGGAGAGGAAAGTGGGGTTCACATCTGATGGGGGTGCTGATTCTGATAATTGGGGGAGGAAGAAGGAGGAGAGTAATGGTGGGTCTGGTTTTGATCGAGAAAGAAGAGTTGGGTTCGTGTCCAATGGTGGTGGTGCGGATTCTGAGGTTTGGGGGAAGAAGAAGGAGGAGAGTAATGGTGGTCTGAGTGAGAGTACTGGAAGGCCGAGGCTCAATTTGCAGCCGAGGACACTGCCTGTGAGCAACGAGACCTCACCTGGGTCGACGGCAATACCGAAGCCCAAGGGCTCAAACCCGTTTGGTGAGGCGAGGCCAAGAGAGGAGGTGTTGGCAGAGAAGGGGAAGGACTGGAAGAAGATTGATGAGGAGCTCGAGTCGGTGAAGATTAAGGAGGTGGCTGAGAGAGACCACTCGCCCTCGTTTGGGAAGAGGAGTTTTGGGATAGGAAATGGGCGTGCTGGAGATCGAACTGAGAGAGCTTGGAGGAAGCCTGATGTGGCAGATGCTCGTCCCCAGAGGTTTGTTGTTTCAGTCATATGATTGATTGATTGGGTATATCAATCGCTAGTAATTAGAATGCTTAGTTGTAAAGTCTGATGCTTTTGATATTTCTATGTTGAACTTGATTGCATGGATTTTCTTAGCTATGTTAATTGGAAAGATGCATTGTTGATAGAATTGGTTTCAGCTAGTTATAGGAAAATTTGCTTGATGGAACAGTGAATTAGCATATTGGTTGTATGCATGTAAGTGTGTGTCTTTTAGTTTAACCTTTTCATAAGGGGTTTGTCAACCTTGTGGGGGAGATGCTGAGTATTGATGGTTTACATTTGTGTCCAAAAGGAAGCTTCTTGAACTCTGGTTTCTGTAATAAAAAGAAATTCACTTTGCCGAGCATTACTTGTTATCTTATTGATAGGTCGAGTTTTACAAAATACTTGGTGCTCCAATGAATTGCAATTCACTTTTGAGGATTTTTTATGCTCGTCTTTGTTTTGCCCTCTTATCTTCTCATGTGCACACATAGACAAGTTTAAATTGGTGGCACTACTATCTCTTTATTTTTGCCCTTGGGTAATGTATTTCTAATTTGTTTGATAAAACACCCTCCTTTTTCAATTTCAACCCTAACTTGTGATATTCTGAAGGCTGCCCATTCATCTTTATATGTTTATTGCAATTTTCCCTTCTGCTGTTTGACACATACTACTATCCCTAACCCTGGCTGCTGCACAAGGAAAAAAAGTTGTTTTATGTAAGTATGTGTTAAATATGAATATTGGACTAGAAGGATCTACCTGACTTGAATGGAGCCATTTAAAGTTAAAGGTTCATGTAACCATGGATTTCTCTTTTAGTTTTTAGGGGGTTAGTAACTTGTAATGTGTGTGATTAGACGTGCTTTCAACTATTTGTTGCTATTTTCAGGGTTCGTTAGAACTCTAAAAGTAATATTTTTCTTTCGGTGCAGTGCTGAGGAAAATGAGAGTAGGAGCAGTTCTGTGGAACCAGAGAATGGCCATGTTGATGAGCATGTTGACAGTCATGTTGACGGGCATGCTGATGAGAATTGAAGAGGCGTTTTACAAGTTCGGTGTAAGCCATGGGAAAAGATTTTAAGTTGAGCTGTTGGATCCATGAGGCTGTTGAATTTTCAGTTTCAATGATTTGTGTTCTCTTCTGCGACTGTAATACATTGAACTTGAGACAATTTTTGTAGGATTTTAAATAGCTATACTAGTTTTGCCCGTAGGGCTTTGTTTGTATGTTGTATTTAAGATTGAGAAATACTTTAACTCTAATTATTATTTTTGATCCTTAAATTCTGGTTCACACATTTCATGGTTGAAGATTTTGGTATGTTGTGCATTTGATGCTTCATGGTTCTGCCTATGTTCTCTGGATAATTTATTTTGTGTTTTAACAAGAAATGCTGCATAAATTTATGTATTTCTGGTCATGTGATTGATGGAATTTTGCTGAATGTGTAGATTTTTCGGTTATTTACAGTACAGGGTTTGCAGATGTTTAACTTTTTATGCCTTAGGGTAAGGGTCAGAATTGGCTGAACTGGAATTGGAGTTGCCTATAGTTTCAAGTTACTGATTTATAGAATGAATCATATTTGTAAGCAAGTAGACTTTTGATTGAATCATTTTTAGCATTCATTATTCTGCTGTAGGTTCAAAATTTTGTTGCGAGTAATTGATGTTGTAATTGTTTTGGCCAAAAAAAAAGACGAGAAAACATATTGCAAAGGGTGAGTTTTCAGTATTATGAGCAAGGAATAATACAGAAGTTGCAATTCTGATGGCTCATGAGAGATTCTTGAATGTCTTCAGTCGTATAATAGTAATAGGGTAGATTTTCCCCCACAAAATAACGAAAATGGCACAGTTGACTGATTAGATGTCACCAGTTGTACAGATTTTATACACAAAATGACGGCAAGGGCAACCAACCAAAACTAGGGTAGTTTGGGAGTGCTTTTGTAACTGCTAAAGCGCTACTGGCATAAATGCTTCCAGTGCCAACTGGGCACTCACTGCTACAGTTGCTCTGCCATGCTACAACAACAATGCAGGTCCATTTTTACACTGGTACGGAGTTTGGTTCATCATAATGGGCCAATATTTTAAGTCCACTCTCTTACTTCGAGTTTGAATCTTCCTCTCTTAATTAGTTTAAATTAGAGTACTGATTTGTTAAAAAGAAAAAAAAAACTAGTCTCAAGGCTGGCCTTAGGTCATGTTCAAAGAGGTTATTATCAAATTACACTAGAGAAAACAAAAGTTCTTCTTCTGCGCGTGCCTAGCCTGGCAATATGTCATTAGACAAATACATCAATTTTTGAGTAAGTGCGGGCACGAGAAAGAGGTTTGCAGACATGTGTGAGGTGTAGTTGAAGAGCATTAAAGAGAAGTCATTACTTATTTCTCTGTCTTTGCATATCATGAAGCTCTATCTCCTTATAGGCCTTCCTCATCAATGCCTTTGCTACTTTGACGGCCAACTAATACCCTCCACCAGCAAAACCTTGAAGCCTTGAAGTCATGTTTTTTGGCCACAAACCGACCCACGTCTCCAATAATGGCAACATATGGACTTCTTGCCTTCAAAATCTTGGGATAGGTACTGCTCATGTCCACAGTCTCTGTTTGCGTGGCAAAATTATTCTAAAACTAAAAACTCCTGCCCTGCAGTTATATCTATGGCCGTGGACAAAATAACATGTTACGGTGTATACACTATTGTGTTTATCTCTCTAATCGCATGATGCGCAGTGCGTATGCATCAACTTCAGACAATTAATTGTTGGATCATGACACTTGTGATTTCAACATTAGTTCTAATGAAACCAAGAATATTTGGCTATTAGCACCAGCCTTAAATGCACCTCTGGTTTGAAAATG